AGGAAAAATACGAAAAGTAAAAGATCAAAACGAGAGACATCCCTAACTAAGATAATCCTCAATTGACAATTGAATCACGAAGCATAGGATTATTGGAGAAAATTAGATTACTCACTTTGCCATCAAAAATCACTGAGTAAAACAGTAAATGTATAGATTCAATGATCCCTCGAACATATAAGAAACAACTTGTAAACTTAAAATAGAGAGACTAAAGAACCTGAAATCTCACCATCGCTCGTGGAGAAGGGTTCTGAAAGAAAATGAATCGAAAAATCCATTCGTCATCAAAGATTGCCAAACTCGGAACTATTTATCTAAGGATCTAATGATCCATCCAAAGAAAGAACCCCGGATCGTCAACCTAAAGGAGAGGGACAGATCAAGGCCAATGAGATTTAAGAGAGAACTTCACTTCGTCTATACTTTGGAATGGGATCTTGAGGATGCACAATTCTTTTAGAATAAGACTTGATCATTGGATCAAGGCCACTGAGATTTTGGTGATCCAATGATCACCAAAATGAAAACCACTAATCCGGAAAGCTAATAATCAGTGGAAACAAATATTCGTAAAACTAGATAAGAGGGAGAGATCAAGAACCTGAGATCCCAACTTCTTCATCTTCTTGTTTTCATCCACACTCCACAGATGGAGGGAGGGAGAAGAGATGAAAAAAACGAAACAACGCTTGCTCGCTCTTCGTACCACCCTCGCCTATTATTTATAAGCCTCGTCTATGGCAAGAGTCAAGAATGTTCCATGAAATAACAATTTAAAACATCTAAAAACAACTTAGAACGTCATTGCGGATACGATTATTAAATGAAAAAAATCCTTTAACCAAAGCAATCTCTAATAAATTATGCCATGTTCACCCTCTGATTTTTTGAATTACCTTAGTCTATTCTGTAATCATTTCTTGTTGGTATTTAATTAGATAATGCATGCAGTTCTATTCCATTAAGTTCTCGCTACCTCTCCCCTGTCGGATTTCTAGCATTGTTGGTTAATCTGATGATTTTATTGAAGTACAATGCGTTCTCAAATATTTGGTTCTTAAAGTACAATTTAGGATATCAATAACGAGAACAACCGAGCGTTCCGAGAACTAAATGCAACACATCAGATGAATACAAAAGAATCGAACCCACATCTACTATTAAATGCATATTCACAATCACGAAAGGAAAACAAGAAAAAGAAAAAGATCAAAACGACAAACAACCCAAACTAAAATATTCCTCAATGAAAATTTAATCACGAAGCATAGGATTGATTACTGCCATCTTGTCGAAGTGGATTTTCATTGAAGACAATTAGATTACTCACTTTGCCATCAAAGATCACTGAAAGAATAATCACAAATGTATAGATCTAATGATCCCTCGAAAAGAAACGAAACAACTTAGACTCAAACGAGAGAGATCAAAAAACTTGAAATCTCACCATCACCTTCGGAGAAGGGTTCCGGTAGAAAACCACTCGGAAAGTCCATTCGCCATCAAAGATCGCCAAACTCAGAACTATTTAACTAACGATCTAATGATCCATCCAAAGAAAGAACCCAGATCGTAAACCTAAAGGAGATGGACAGATCAAGGACACTGAGATCTCAGAGAGGTCTTCTCTTCGTCTACACTTTGGAATGAGATCTTGAAAATGTACGATTCTTTTAGGATAAGACGATCATTGGATTACCAAAACGAGAACCGCCGATCCATGAAACTAATAATCCATGGAAAGAAACATTCGTAAAATTAGACGAGACGGAGAGATCAGGAACCTAAGATACCAGTGTCTTCGTCTTCTTGTCTTCCTCCAAGCTCCACGGACGAAGGGAGGGAGAAGAGACGAAAAAACCAAAGAACGCTGGCTTGCTCCGCACGCTGCCCTGACTGTTATTTCTAGGCCTCATTTCCAGTCGTCCGATCTAATTTTCGACCCATGGTCCGGCATGCTAATCCAGTGACACGTGTTACCCGTGAAAGAATCAAGAATGTTCCATGGCGCATACCTCATCTTCGTAAGTGTCACAGAATTGAATCATCGTAAGCGAATCCTCGGAGACAAGCGCACATGCAGGAAGGGAGGATCCGAAATCGAGAAAGCAAGCGTGTAGAGTTAACATCCTAATCCGATTGAATCGGTTTGCGGGTTTCGCAAGTTAGAAATGAGGAATGAAATTGAGATAGGATGGCAAATATGTACAAAATTGATCCATGTATAAGATTATTGGTGAACGTTTATGTTGTGGTTGAGGTGTAAGTACAACTTGATCCGATTACGAATATGTAAGATTGTTTACGCCGAGACTCAGGTGACGGAAGTAAGTGTTAGGTCAGATTGAGTTATGAACCTCGTCACATGCTTCCTCGTCGATAGTTCCTATACTAAGGTCGAGGTCGAGAGAGTGATTTCCTAATTCGATCCATTCGAATCTTAAGTCAGAGTTAAGTGGAATAAGAGTAAGTCCAATATCCCCTTAGCGTTGGTCAAAGAGTTAGCTTTTATACCTGTAAAGGAGGATCGATCGTACATGGTCATTTAATGATATTAACTCTTCGGAAGGATTTATACCTCGCGAACGAGTGTCGATCGACCTGTGTGGACCCTCACCATGCGTAGTCGTTCCGAACTTTCTGGAACGGTCGTGCAGCACCACCCTGAGCTTTTCGGAATGGCTCCGTGGTGTTCGACGTCGAATAGTGCGAGAGCGTGTGGTCGTCATGTTTGGGTCCAAGGTGTTACGTCGTGTTAACCTAGAGGTCTTTTGTTGATGTTGTCGTGATCGTCGTATGCTACCACGGGGATGGTGCTGAAATGTGGCATTTCAAAGATAATACCCTAACCATCAAAATTATTAACCTTTGATCGATAAGATAATGAATGGTATTGATGGAATTAGATTACATGTTAGGTTTTAATAATAGACATCCATAGTTCGAACATGATGGCATATAAGAAATTTGTTAAGAAAAAAAAAAGAGAGAAAATAAATGTTGTCTAAAAGTGATTAAACAAATGTCCAAGATAAGGAAAGAATGATTCGTTTTGAATTTGTGCGCGTGCAAAATGTTTTCATCGTTTAAGAAATAAACGGAGTGTGTGCTTCTCGCGGTCCTTCGTTAACCTCGGAGCCTAACCTTCGACGCCGTGACCCCGTACAGGAAACGGGACATTCCCTCTCTGCCCACTATTTATCCTTTGATCTCTTCTCCTCATCCCATTTTTAACCTGTCATTATTATAAGCCACAACCTTCCGACAATTTCTCCCCGCTATATATACCTGATGGAATCGTATGGGCTGTCGGAGGTCTAAATCTCCTTGCCACCAATAACGAGATGATCTTTGATGACGCATAAGAGATTACTCAAGCTAAGAGGACAAGGAAAACATTTCTGCAGTGATTAGATTTTCTTCTTCTTCTTCTTCTTCTTCTTCTTCTTCTTCTTCTCATTTCTCTTTTCCTGGAGACTCTGAGTTCGTGTAGGAGACATGTTGCAGGACGTGATCGAACCGACGTCGGAGGAGCTGTTAATTGTAAGCTTTCATCCCTTCCATTTTCATTGTTCTTTCTCATTCCTGCTTGTTGGTTTGATCTGGAGTTTCATGTATTCCGCAACGAAGCTATCATAATTCCTTCAATTTATGGAGCTTCAGATAACTTAGATCTCTTGCATCCCTAGAACTCAAATCATTTTTCTGAACCAGCCATTGCGATACCCCTTACGTTTTATCTACAGCATGCATGGCATTCTTCTCTTGTAAGCTTCCGAGGTATATGGCGGCTGTTAAGATGTAATGCTGTTCTCATTACTAATCTTCTCCGCGAGGTGATCTCACATCATCAAATTCAATACACATACACATACACATGCATGCATGCATGTATATATATATATATGTATGTATATATATATATATATGTATATATATATATATGTATATATATATATATATATGTATATATATATATATATGTATATATATATATATGTATATATATATATATATATGTATATATATATATATACATATATATATACATACATATATATATATACATATATATATATATATACATATATATATATATATATATATATATATATATACACACACACACGCACTCATATAGGTGCATCCTCACGGTCGACCACGTAATATCGCGCGTGCCTCGCTTCCGAATATATCTGCTCACAATTGACCACGTGACAGCACTATCTTGGTGGCAAACTGCATGCCTCTGTCTTCTCTTCCTTTCTGAAGTGGCCATGGCGATGGATGAAGCAAGTCATCAACTTGTTTGGGTCTTTATTTCATATCTGGGAATAGGAGGAAGAAGAAGTTTTGTGTGCTATGATTGGTTACAAGTAGTGCGCTATTTGAATGCAGGAGGGTATCTCGAGTCCCATCGCCGTGCAGCTGCTCGACTTCTGCGACGACGACGGCAGTGCCGCAAGCGACATCTTCACCCTCACCGACCACCACCCGAGCCAACCCTGTCTCCCTCACCGCGAGGACGGCTCCTCCTCTTCCTCTTCTTCTACTTCCTCCTCCATCTCCACCTCCTCTGCAGCCACAACGGCCATTGCCACAAACACCCCCCTCTACGGCTATGCCGGTGACGCGGCGCCATTCTCACCCTTTTCCTCCCTCTACGCCCTTCTGGATGCCCCTTCGGTGTCGCTCGACCCCGAACCCGGCCTCGCCCGGTACCCTTCCTCGTCATCGTCGTCCCAAAATCCACCTCCTCATACTCTTCCTCCGCCGATGTTCCCGCTCGCGCCGACGCCGACGTACGTCGGGGACCCGTTCGACCATATCTTACTGACGGAGACCATACCCAGTGGGTTCTCGCTCGACCCCGCCATGGTAGTCCCCATGCCAGCGACGGGGGGCCCACAATGCCAGCAGCAGAACCCGCAGGCGGCGTACGGGGAGCAGCACTACGCGGCGGCGATGCAGCAACCGCAGGAGTTGGTGGGGCTGGATGCGCCACCGTGCGGGTTTCTCGAAGGTACTCTTGGCATGGGAGCCGCGCTGTACGGCGGCGGCGGCGGAGGTGAGCCGCAGGGGTTCTTCGGGATGGCGGCGACGGGACCGGACGCAGCACTGGTGGGGTTGGGCGACGCGGCAGAGGGCAGCGACCTGGGCACGTTCGGGCAGGAGACGATCGCTCGAGCGTACAGCCCCGGCGACTTGCAGGTAATTAACGGAGGAGGCCAGCATCTGATGGTTGGATGCAGCGGCAACTCCCGGCCGCCGCTGCCGGCCACCGACGTCTCACCGTTGGAAGACTCCTCCTACAAGGTTGGCCGCTTATCCGTGGAGGAGAGGAAGGAGAAGATCCACAGGTACATGAAGAAGCGGAACGAGCGAAACTTCAGCAAGAAGATCAAGGTACGTAGTATCATCTGTTCCATGCAACGAACGTGATCTCATCTCACGCAGAAGCCATGTCACCTCTGCAGTATGCTTGTAGAAAAACCTTAGCCGACAGCCGACCTCGAGTCCGGGGAAGATTTGCCAAGAATGATGAACTTGGAGAGCTGGCAAGACTGAGATCCAGCAACCATGAATTCGAGGACGAGGAAGAAGTAAGCTCTACGTTTATCTTATACTATGAACCTTCCAAACACAAAGCTTCAGCAGAAGAATTCTCTTCCCCGCAAACTGCTGCAACTATTTACGTGTCTGAAGATTATTTCAGAGACATATCATGGCTTTCATCTTACGTTATTACATGTTTGGTGGTGCTCATCTCTGACCCCAATTCTCATCTGCTGCTGCTTTCTACTTGTAGGTGGCCATCAAGGAAGAAGACATCCTCAACACCTCTGACATCCTTGCACATCTCAGTGGGGTGAACTCATTGAAGTGCAACTACACCCTTGAATCCTGGATATGACTCGTGTGGCTACACAAAGATAGTGTTGATTGTAGACTTGTTGCGGCCATCCTCGGCAGCAAATCTAATCATTCTCAGTTCAGTAAACTCAATATGTGGAGACCTGAAGAAGGTATCCCTGCATCCAAATGCAGTTGTGGAGTTACCCGTAGATCAAGAAATCAGTGAACTCTGTATACTTCCGAAAGTTTCGGATGACACGGAATCCAATTTTGTCTAATTACTTCACGAATGTTTAATCCGTCATTTCAGATTTATAAGCTGAATATATAGCACTTTTGAAGCAGATAAAATTTTTATATGCCATTAGTACTACAAACTAGTCAGACACATCTGCAGTTGACCAATCAGAAACCAAAGTGTACACCCTAAAATCGAGATCGGCTAACATGCAAATTCTTCATTCACGATAAGGATTCTTTCTCGAAATTTGAGTCTCTTTTACGTCAATCTCAACTTTTTGTTAGGCCATTAATAAATAAAGCATGAACACACAGCGATGATTACTACAATGTGAGTGGTAAAGTCAAATGGAACAACTCGACTTTGCTTCAATCACAAGCAATCATCACTCCTGAAAAGGCCATGATACATTGTTAAAGCGTGTACCACTATGATGATCTTTCCAAGGAGGGTGTCTGCCATTTAGTGAGCCGCATCGAGAAGATAGAAGAGCTTGCTGCACAAGCTCGATGGTCAAGCGCACAGTCGATGCCTCCATCGCATTATTGGTGTGTTTCCGAACGCAAAATGTCCTCCTACCGTCGCCTTGGCACCGTGCAAACTGCAAAAGTAGAACAGATCGCACCGACAGCGGTGGTTCATGATCTCTCTCGATCCCAAATGGATCATAGTGATCAGCGTCGTGGCCACCGCTTTAATTTTGTGGCAGAGAAAACAAAATCATAAAATCCACTTATTGAAAGAACGGACGATTTCACCAAAAAAAAATCTCCTTTGTGGCTTTTTTTCCTTGTAAGAAGCTTCTTGTTTTCGTTTTTCTCATGTAGTATCCCATATTTATTATAATCATGTAAATATTTGAATATATATCTCGACTAAAGTCAAGATTTCAGTATGAATAAAGTTAGCTATACCATCGACAAAGTTACAATCAAAGACAATTGTTGGTGTCAACAACTTTATGCCGTGGCCTCGGGGTTGACACGGCTTGTTTCGAGTCCGAATGACGAGGATCTTGCTCAAGGTCTCTCGAGATTGCTGATGTGGGCGGCCGTGCGGATCGGATCACGTCGGGGCTCGTCGGGACTCGTATGGAAGAGTCCCTCTCCTTGGCGTTGGTGGGGAAGCAGCCTCCGTCTTCGTACCTGCATACAGGTCGGGTCGAAGCTCGGCCCGACCCCTCCGACGATCAAGTCAGATGAAGTGAAGAGGTTTATTTTGTGTGTGTTTCCTCCCCCCCCCCCGCCTCCTTGCTCCTCTCGGGAGCGGGGTTTTTATATGGTGACTTGCTGTGTCTGTTGTGCTTGTTTTGTAAGGAGCAGGATCATACTCCCGACCACGTTTGACAGCGGTGTTGGCGTGGCGTGAAGGATTGGGCCTGAGCAGGACGTTAATGCGCCTCGGTCGACGTTCTGGTCCGTTTGACCATGTGCTATCAGGTCGATCGAGACGTGAGACGTCATTTGGGGTAACTGACGTCAGCCCGAGTCTTGTCGTCATTATTATCCTCATCAACAATGTTGATCGCAGCATCTATTCTTACTGAGTAAGAGGAGATAATTAAGCTATACATGATTCAGAAGAGGGGCACGATGATCGGCATAGCGAGAAGGCGATGGTGAATGGATGAAAAAACGAAAATGACGAGAAATCACCCTTAAAAGAAAGGAACGTTGGAGTTCTCATCGCCCACCACCCGAAGAAGAGATGGGTCATCATGGACGCGGTGTTTGAGTTCTCCGACATCCCGCAAGAGTCGAACGCTCGGAATGAGTATTAATGTTGGGCGCGATGGTTTCGAAGCCACGAACATTAATGTTCGGATGGTTTCGAAGTACACTTTCTCTCTCCCATCTTAATTGTCTTTGCTCATTCTTGCTCGCGTTAGGGAAGGACGAGGAGACGGTGCCCGCTGCGGGGTCCACTCTGCTGCCACCGTCTCTCCCGTTTGACCTTTGACCGAAGAGAGAAGGCGACGCAGGGAAGCATAAGCGAACGAACAAAAGCGGGACACCGAAAGCGGAGATGGGTAATAGCATTCTCTGTTTCTATCGATTAGAGAGGCGAAAATTCCAGTTTCGCTATCACCATTGCAGTAAAAGCCCAACTTTGGGAGCAGGTGGTATCTCCCTTTGCTAAGAAAGATTTGTCTTACTTTTTGGTTGCTTCCTTGTTCTTTCTCACTGGCTGCTACTGTTGGCAACGGCGGAGCGGAGGGTCACAGTTGTAACTGGTGATTCGATGGTCGTGTTTGGTTGTTTGTGAGGGAGCCGCTGGTGATGAATGCTTGAACCGGAAAAGGGAGAGAGAAGTTCACGCGGATTTGGGAAAGGAACTGCCTTTTATCACTTCTGGTCACCTTACCTTCCCCGACATTTCCTATCTCCTTCATCGTCAGCCGTCGGTTTCTCTTATCTCCTTCCCATCTCTTCCCTTCCCTTCTCGTCGTCCGCATCCTCGAAAAGTCACCTTTCTTGTGATAACCTTATTGTCTCTTTCCTTCCATTCTCCATCTTCATTTCCTCTCTCTACTGTTCACATCAGCTGGAAATCCGTTACTATTCATCCGACATGTCCTTTCTTCTTCATGCCTCCCTCTTCCTGTTGATCCTTCCTTTCTCTGTTCCTAGCCTTGGCGAGATCTTGTCTTGCTGAAAGAGAAGATGGTTCCTTTTTAGAACGAGCTTCGGCACAAGTCGGCCAAAATCTACATAGAAGAGCAGCGAACTGGAACGCAGTATCAAGGTGAGGAATTTGTTACCCTGCTCTTTAGGTCTATATCCTCTTTTTGTCGCTTAAGGTTTTATTACGGGTTTGGATGCTGCTGCGCATCTAATCAAGACAAGAAGGGACTTCACCAAAACTTTGGGTGGAAGAATAAAAGTGAAAATTGTGATCAAAGAATTTGTGGGAATAAAAGAAGATAGAGATTCCAACTGTTGCTAGATTTTACAGAAACATACTGGTAATTGGGAGATATGGTTCGGATATTACTTCAATCATCCTTCCTTCCTTGGCTTCAGTCACTTGGATAGCTTATGAGTTGCTAATCTTCAAGCCTTAGACATGGAGTATTATTTGTCATTGAAGCCTATTTTCAGATTTGAAAATGAAGTATATTATCTTTGAAACCAAATAATCATCTTCAAGTTAGCAGTAGCTATCCCAATTCCCAACAATATAATTTCATATATAGAGCACCAATCCACTGTTGTCTCATGCTTATATAATTAGTGAAGAACAGCTTATTAGGTTTAGTCCCTGTAGTTTCCTTGTATTCTTCTATGGTGCCAATAAATGGTCACATTGGATTTCATGTTGTGACTGCTAGAAATGTTTCTGCTTCTAGTAGCTGCCATACCATTATTCAGTGGTGAACTTGCATTTTCTTTATGTCAATGCAGCATGAAGTTGAACCGAGGGTATTCTTATGATGGCTAGTGTCAGGATATATTCTCTTTGAACATGACAATGGAAAGTGCAGATTTGGAAGGGCAAGAACAAGCAAGGAATGAACATGCTGCATCTCCTAGTTTGGATAATAGTGCAGAATTTAGGGATGATGATCACTCAGATTTTAGTGTTTTCGATGCTAAATTGGAGTTTAAGATGATTATGAGCAAAATACCTTTGTATTTGGAAATCAAACAACCGAAACTTCACCGAAGATGCAGGCAAATCCAAAGATCACTTCCATGCAGGAACTCTCAGAATCATCTTACTGGTACCAACAAAAATCTTGCACCATCATTTTTTGCTGATCTTGAAGAAATTAGTTGTGAATCTCATGTTATTCTTTACGGAAACAAATCATTGTTAAACATCCCTGCTAGCATGACAGCCTCCGGTTACATCTTGAACACCTCAAAGTTGATGGATATAACTCGAAACATAAACAATTTAAGCAAATTCTTTCCTGAATTTTCACCTTTTGTTCAGTCAGGAAACATAGTCATGAGTCCTTCAGCTAGATGGGTTCATGATTTTATACAAGGAAATGTGAAGGGAAGTGGGCCAATAAAAAGCTCATTGTCTTTTGATCCAGTTAAGCAAGACGTTCACACGAAACAAATTATATCAAGATTGGCCGGTAACATGGAAATGAAATTCTCAGATTCATCAAGCTTTCCTAGGATTTGTAGCCCATTGTTAGAAAATGCAAAACCACTCGCAGAACCTCCAAGGAAACAATCATCTGATGCAAAATTCTCTCAGGAGTTGATGGTTTCTTGCTCGAGTACGGAATCGACTTCATCCTACCAGTCTACTTCACCTGCACATGGCTGTGTCAGCTCAGCACTTCTTCACTGTGTCTGGGAGAGTGACATTCATTATTTCTTATTCACCATGGATGCTGATGATGGAGGTAAAGTATATGCGGCCAGTCCTCTGAAGATCAAACCCTCTGTTGACAAGTCTCTGGATTACATTTATCTGTTCCATTCGTGGAAAGCTATCGGAAATGAGTCAAAGAAAAATGTTATCAGTGCTTCACCTGTTGTTGGAAAGATGAAGGTATCAAGCTCTGTAATCGTTAACTCGAACAGATCAAAATTCATAGAGACTGAGTTTGTCTTGTTTGGTGCTAATGAAAAACATTCTGCAGAAAATAAGTCATCATCTAATCCCAAGAAAAAAAATATGCATTTTAGAAAGATGGCTGTGATATTTAGACCAAGCCATTTGTCAAATCACAGTCCTAAAATCAAGGTTGGTGTAACAGGTTCTGGATTTGGTGATCTCTGTCAATTCTTTTCTGGCGAGCAGCAAATTATCGATGAACGAGATTGTTCAGAACACCTTTTAAATGATTTCCTACCCAATCGTGAGTTGGCTGCAATAGTAGTCAGAGATTATGGATGCAATTCCTCAAAAGGAGTTGCTTTTGGCGGTTGGGGACTCAAGTTCCTTGAGAAAGTTGAACTCGATGATGCTGATTCTTCTCGAGAGCCACCCTCATCTTCTTCTGAAAGTTGTAAAGAAAGATTTATATGTGACAGAGAGAAGATTGCTAGGAATGTAACTGTTCTAGTCCCAGCTGGATTTCATGGTGGGTCATTTACCAGAGCTGGTGGCCCTTCTAGTCTCACTGAGAGATGGAAGTCAGGTGGACAGTGTGACTGTGGTGGGTGGGATATTGGATGTCCTATAAAAGTATTGAACAATAACTCTATCTGTTCACTAGTTTTGCCCAAGGCTAAGGTGGAAGGGGATTGCAAGTCATTTGAATTGTTTACAGAGGTGCAGTATACAATTTTATTCATCAAATCATTTAGTTTCTTTGGGCTCTGTATCTTGTTTACAGTTTTTTAATTATTAGCTACAAGATATATGCATGTATGGAGAACTAATGTTGAAGATTTTCACAATTTCCTGGTGCTCATGAAGAGTGCCTTGGATATTTTGGGGGCATTCTAGATTACGATGATATCAAGATCAGTCCTTCCTCCGATTATGATTTTTTTTTTCGACTTCTTTTATCACATGATTTCTTGATGAATCCTCTTTTAGGTGAAGTTTGTAGATCCATCCATCCATGTATTTGTTTGGCACAGGCAACTTAAACAGGTGTGACTTTGTCTTCAATTTACTTTCAAAAGAAAATGGTTGTGTTTGTCATCATACCAGGCTTGAATCAATTTTTTGGTTATCAAAAGAGTTTTCTGGACTTATTTTTCTTTCATTTCCATTCTTTCTAGTTTCTTTGGAGATTGGACCAAACTATGAAGAAGACCATATTACAGTCATTTTCTTTTTTGTTTACTGAAGAACATATTTGTTCTCGATTTTGCCATTATTTAGTCAATAACTAGTCAATATTTCTCTTTCCAATTTAATCATTGTTAATGCATGAGATTGAGCTAATATGCAGTTTTGCATGTTTCTCATAGCCTGCTCGTCTGAAGCCTAATAGACGAGAAAGTATTGACATGGCTAAATTTTCTTGTAATTCTCAGGATGTAAAGCACGGTGAACCCACTCTCAAAGTGTTGAATGTGAGCAAAGACATGTATGTCGTTAAATCTGGATCAACTCTATCAGCTCTGCAGTCTTTCGCCATAGCAGTTGCGATGATCCATTCACAGACACCAGATCTATATCCAAATCTGTAACCTACATGTTTTATATAACTGCTACCATCTTTTTTCTCTTCCATCATGTTCCAAATCTTAGTGCCCAGATAGATGGTGATGAAATGTACAGTATTCTTTATGCCTTTTTGTATCTTTGAACTCCCTGCAGTCTAAATTTATGTGGAAATGGATTTTGTATTGCTGAAGCAAATTGTTGATGCACTTATGACCATCAGATCACTTGATTCTAACTGCAGTCATTTTCTATTACGAAATATGAAATGTGTACTTGTTGAACTGATACTATAACTGTTAATGATGCAACAATATGTTTTTAATTGAAAATGCATGGAGTAGTGGGAGCTGTAGTTCTTATATCTTCAAGCAATTCATGATAGTTTCTATGCCATAAATTTATTGTGTGGAGAGACATTTGCGTTTTATGTAACACCAGATCACAAGGGAACGAAGAAAGGAACAAGCGAGAGAAGATATATGAGAAGATTTGAACTTTATCCAAATATTTTCCACAACTTGAAGCCTAATAGTCTATCCGGAAAACAGAGCAAATAGGAAAAATATTTGTATCCTAATATAAATACTCAACATCTAAGTTCAGGTCAACTCAAATCAGCGGAGCTCTACAAACAGCTAAAGTAAATGCTTCCTAAGTAGAACTTTGCAAGCAAAGCAGCTCCAAGTCAATCGATAATAGTGCTTCTATAGCTATCACCATGAAAAGTTTCTAAATTTGTGGCACACAACGAACATGTTCAGCAGACAAAAGTTTTTGTAAAATTTTTAATTATGGTATTTTGCTTTCTTGAGTCCTTGCTCCATGCCATGCCTTATAATCATTGCTTTCCAGCATCTTCTCCACTTCTTCGAATGACAAACCCTTGGTTTCCGGTACAAGCAAAAAGATAAACACAAAGGCAACAGCAGAAATGCCACAGAACAAGAGGAAGGTGGGAGCTGTTCCTAAAGCCTCCGTCAAGCTCAGAAAGGTCTGCGTGACGATCAGATTGGAGACCCAATTAGCTACTGCAGCCAACCCCCCACAGAGTCCTCGGTATCGTAAGGGGTATATCTCCGAGTTGACAATCCAGGGGACAGTGCCCATGCCAGGAGAATAAGATACAATGTATGCTCCGAGAGCGACGAGAGCCAACCATCCAAAGTTGCTTGGGCATCCTCGAGTATACCACTCACGATGATTGGCGTGACAAGCATCTCTAACCGTAGAATCCGACCGCAAGCATTCTCCGGGAAGAAGCTACATAGAAATTCCAAGCACAATAAATAATATGGTTTAGAACATTGATGTAACTAGACTTATGAATTTAATGTTCCACTTAAGTAGGAAGATATGTGATATACATGAGACCAAAACAGATGAAGTCGATTTAACTGAAAACTTCAAGGCTAGTTGCAGATCATTATCTGCAAGGAGCATGAACTGTTCACACTTGCCGAAAACAAGAACAATTTCACACGGTTTTAAGTCATCCTGGACCAAACATAGCTCTACCTAAAAGCTAAGGCATTCTAAATATCTCTTACACCGCTATGTGGAAAACAATAGATTAATAGCTTCTTAAAATGACATGA